GAATGTTATAGTTTCTTTCCACTGTGTTCCTGTTAATGATAAACTACAAATTTACTCTAAATTACTAAAATATCGATATTTTAATGTGAGAATCGATTCTACAACATAAATGATTGGTATCGGAGGAATCGATATTTCAGGATCGATCCGCACATCACTACTCATCAAAGTCAAGTGCACTAGCCAGTACGAGGTCTGTGAGCCGCCTGTGTCGCGTAAGATAGTCATGGTTCGCTCATCTTTAGGCTAACCAGAGAGCGACACCGCTCCTTTAAAAATGAAGGGTTTGAAACATTCGTCAGGAGTCTCAGTGCTAAGGGGTGTATCAACAGGGGGCGCGATTTTAATCAGCCCCATCCCTTTTGGCTTAAGTGGTGTTGAGGCTGGCTGCCTTCGCCTGTAGGCCTCGCAGTCCGCTATTAAATGGCCAACTAGTAAAAACATTTCCGGTCTGACCTGGGATGAGGCACAGGTACCTCTCACCTTGTGTCTTGCTCAGCCGGGGCACCGCTAGCCTTCGCTAGGGCGTTGTGTCGCTCATGCTTAACGACACTAGGGTTGCCAACCGTCCCTTAAAATACGGAATCGTCCCGTATTTAGAAACAAAAGTACACGTCCCGTATTGAGCTAATAAGGGACGCACTTTGTCCCGTAATACAGGGAGAATCACAAAAACTCTATAAATGTTAATGGATTTAACGCTTTGTTTGAAAACACAATTCCCAGCCCCTCTCCTGCTCTGTGACCAATGAGCTGACAGCACACTTAGCACGAGTATAACAGTTCAGAATACCGCTTATCTCATTGGTTGAGGAAAGGTCGCGTGCGGAGAAGATACCGGAAGACAACAGATGACCAGCATGGCCAACAGGGAGACAAACACCGACACTGCGGCGTAAGTCTGGGACGACAGTACACCTTTGACCAACAGTGCTTGTTCCCCTCCTAGAAAGAAAAAAAAGGGCTGCAAAAATACAAGAAGGAATGGGAAAATGAAAACACCTGGCTGGGAAAAGTGCGCGATAACACGTATAAAGCGCACTGCACTGTGTGCCGGCGCACTTTTTCCATTTGCCATGGTGGACTGACTGACGTTAAGCAGCATGCTTCTACTGGTGGGCACATGATGAATATGAGGGGCGTGAAAGAAAGAGGAACCCTTGACCAATTTGTTGTCCACCAGGCCATGGCAGAAGCAGATATGGTATGTAAACATTTTTTAAAACCTCTGGTTAAGGTTAATATGGGCATGTGCAATGAATATCAGCGCTATGTGGCCAGAAGTTTGATAATATAATTTGTTTTGTGTAATAAACAACTGCAAGGATAGATGATTACAACGAATAGATGACTAATACATAAAAGTAATACATAGATGAATAATGATGATGAGTTATGATGCGTAATCATGGGAACAAGCGGGTTTACAAACGGGAGCAGCTGATTAGCATTAGAAAAGCTGAAATAATACCTCAACTGAAGCCACAAAGCCCGAATAAGTTGACACAGAAGAGACTTCAGTTTCAAGGCAAGGCAGAGATCCTTCCTTCCCACAGTGATTGTGGTCTTCAACAACTCTTTGAAGACTTGATTAGTCTGAGCTGCAACAACACCTAATTTCCCT